TTGTGTTGAATATATGTGTCAGGGAACTGCCATCGGACGGAAGGGAGGTGAAAGGGCTCACACAGGTTGGGAGAGACGCAGCAGCTGAAGAGGGAACCAACAGGGAGGTGAAAGGGCTCACACAGGTTGGGAGAGACGCAGCAGCTGAAGAGGGAACCAGCAGGGGAGAGGAGCTGAGCTGGAGGGATGGCTCAGAGACACTTCCAGCGAAAACAGTGGGGAGGTTTCAGGACCTCCTGTAAGAACACCCACTCCTCGCCGGAAACTGTCACGCAGAGATTCCAGAAGACGTGTTTCCGTTAAGGAGCTTTTATGTTGGAAGCGATCACGAAAGCAACCACTGTCGGAATCTGCTAGTGACTAGAGTAGCCATGTCTGAGGGGCTCCGTCACAGACAGAGGTTTGTGGACTTGAACAAACTCTGAGGGGATACGATTTTACGCACAAGCAGCTCATCATCCCATCACAGCATTCCGACAGTCTTTGAAAGCAGCTTGTGCAGGAGAAGGCATCATGAGCAACCCAGCCGGAACCGGAGAAGCAGGAGCTGGAGCGGGTCCAAGCCTGGAAGAAAGGTACCAGATGTTGGAGGTCCAGCTAGCGATGCAGACGGCGAGGCTTGAGGAGAGGAGGGCTCAGGATGCAGACAAAGGGGAAAGCCACCCAGTTCGCCAGAAAGGTACCAGGATTGGTGCAGAAGTTTGGGGGAGCCCAAAACTATCATGGTTTTCGGACAGAAATGCAATATGCCCTCAATCTGCAGTTTGATGAATTCCCTGACGAGGAATCACGAGTGGCTTTCGTGATTGAGCATCTTGAAAAGGGGGCGAGAGACTGGGTTAGACCCCTGATGGCAGCGAATAGTGACGTCTTAAAGGACACGATGAAGTTCTTTCGCGCCATGGATCTGATGTTTTCCAGCGATATTGAAAAGGGAGTGGTGCGCAGACAGTTAATGGGTTGCAAACAGGGGAGCCGATCTGTCCGTGAGTACTGGACTGAGTTCACCATGCTTGTTCACAGATTGGGGTGGGACTTATCGGCGGAACCCATTCAAATGCTCTTTGAAGAAGGGCTTTCTTCGGCTGTGAAAGACGAACTTTCCCGGGCGCCCAGGGCGGAGTCTATGGACCAGCTGACCAAATCAGCGCTGGCCATAGGAGCGCGCCAGGAGGCGAGAGCATTGGAGAGGCGGGAGGGAAAGGGGAACGTTGGAAGGAGTTCCGCATTCCAGACATTCCAGAGCCAACTTTCCCACCGGCAGAGCCGATGGAAATCGGAACAGCGCGCGCGCGCAGTTTCAAAGCCCAGTGAGGGGCAAAGAAGGAGGGAAAAGGCGCCCGGAAATGCTATCTCTGCCAACAGCCAGGTCACTTTGCCAGAGTCTGCCCTCAGAGGAAAGAATGGCAAGGGATGGTAGGCGCTGTGGATGGAAGAGAGGAAAATATACCGGAGCAAGTAAGCCAACGCCTGGCTGCCACTGTCAGGCACAGCAGCCAGGCCAAAGAGCAGTGAGAGTGCCCACGCCAGAACCTCCTAAACCCGCCCTAGTGATAGAAGTGACGCTAGAGCTGCCAAACGGACACCCTCTAAAGATAAAAGCGCTGTTGGACTCAGGCAGCTCCTGCAATTTCATGAGCAAAGAGTTTGCAGCTGAACACCAGATACAGACAATCCCATTAAGCAGCCCCCGCAGGTTACTACGATCGAGGGCAGGGAGCTGTTGGGTGGAGAAGTCAGCTTGCAGACCGTCCCAATGATAATGAAGGTAGCAAGGCACACCGAACTGATAGCTTTAATGTGGCCACCTTGGGAGGAGCTCCCATTATATTGGGGATGAGCTGGCTAGCGTTACATGATCCGCTGGTGGGCTGGCATCAGAGAGTGGTTTCTTTTGGTTCAGCACATTGCTTAGAACACTGCAAAGAGGGAAGGGGTTTGGCAGGGGTCCAAGCCACCCTAGCAGGGACTGAAGTAACAGAGAACGTGAAGGTACCACGACAATATGCAGATCTCCGTGACGTCTTCAGCGAAAGGGAAGCTGACCAACTACCCCCGCATAGACCCTTTGACTGTCAAATCAACTTACTCCCTGGAGCACAGCTCCCTGTAGGCAAGCTGTACGCCATGTCAGACAGAGAGATGCAGGAGTTAAGAGAGTTCATTGACAAGAACCTGAAGAGAGGGTTTGTAGTAAAGTTGCCCCCAGCCGCTCGCTCCTCCCTCACCTGTCTTGGCTCACCGGCCAGATCAGGTTTCTTGAACAGGGCTGGCAGGCAACGTTACGTTATACAGAAGCAGGACAAAATCACACCGGTAGAGCTGCCACCACTCCCTCTGTTCCGGGAAACCTAGAGTCACAACCCAGGGAGTAGGCTGTACCCTGTTGTTACTGGTTATCCCCACTCCACAAGTTGAATCCACAAACTTGCAGACAGAAGTTTTACGGTAGAGCGTAACTAAGCGTAAGGCTAGGACTTAGACTTTCCCCCCGGAAAGGCACACAAACCAAAACAGTTTCTTAATTAAAATTTATTTTAAAAGAACATAAGAAAACATGCTAAAATAGCAGGCACATCTTTAGTAAGTTACAGACAAGAAAAATAAAAACATTGTGAAATCTAGCTAGCTTGCATACTCACAACTAAAGTACAAAAGAAATAGATAGAGTCCTTTCAAGGTTCCGCAGTTCAAAGGCTTTCGCAGATCTCCAACACAAAGGATGCAAAGACAGCTACTTAGATGGAACATTAGCAGCCGGGCGATTTGCGGATTGCAGAGCGCACTTTCTCAGCCATTTCCCAGATCTTTTAACCCTGATTCACACGTGGCGTCGGAACCCCCAAAACCAATCATAACTCTTGATTATTTTTAAATTCTCCAATGACCGGCTTGTGGACTAATCAATCTAACTTCTGGCAGCTGGGCCAATTAAGAACCCAGAGCCTCAATCAAAGGTTGTCCTCCCTTCCTTGGCGCCTCTGCAGATGCACATTCCCAGGCCATTAAGGCCAGATAACATCACTAACGGAATGCGCAGAACTTGGACCCAGGTGTCAAGCCTTCCATTAAATCAGGGGTTTCCTCTCCCATAATAAAACTTTCACACCCTGGGTGCCTGTTAGTCTGGGGTTAAAGGGACAGAACTTATTTCCCATGGTCCTTGTGGCTTGTTGGTTACCCACAAGGCCTCACTCTCATTGCTTGACCAAGGAACAGCTTCTAAATGATACTAGCTTTACTACACCCTCCCCCCCTAAGATGAAATTACAGGGTTAAGTCCCGCAATTTCATCCAACAAAATATATACATTGAGGTAGTTGGACCAGTCTGGGGGGGCAGCAGCTCCCAAAATCATTAGCACCATCCCCCAGTCTGATATTTACACAGTTGCAAGACAATAATCACCAATAGTTTTTTTTTTCTTCAGCTGAGAATTCAGGCAAAATACACCTTAATACTTCATTTAACAGATTGATACATCCTAGACAAGGTATCAGCAACCACATTGTCCTTCCCAGCAATATGTGTGACGTTAAACTGGAAGTCCTGTAAGGCTAGACTCCACCGAAGCAATTTCTGGTTGGATGCCTTTACTCTCTCCAGCCAACAAAGTGGGGAGTGATCCGTTTGAACTTCAAAGATGTTGCCCCACAGATAAGAACGCAGTTTGGTCAGAGCCCAGACCAAAGCAAAACACTCTTTCTCAATGGCTGAATAATTTTGCTCCCGGGTTATCAGTTTTTACTCAGGTAAACCACGGGACGCCAATTTCCCTCTTGATCTTCTTGGAGCAAAACTGCTCCCAGCCCGGTCTGACTGGCATCAGTTTGTACCACAAACGGACGTCTCTGATCTGGGGCCAACATAACCTGGGAACTCACAAGGGCATGTTTTAACAGATCAAAAGCCCGTTGACACTCTTCAGTCCAATCTACTTTCACTGGCAAAGATTTCTTACAACGGTTGGTAAGAGGAGCAGCTAATGTGGCAAAATGATTGACACCCTTCCTATAATAATTTACCAACCCTATGAACGACTGCACATCTTGTTCCACCACGGGGCGGGGCCAATCTTGAATGTATTGCACCTTGGCCTCTAGAGATTTGACGTTTCCTGACCCCACCCTGAATTCCAAGGGAATCACTTCTCCTTGAGCAAACTGACATTTATGTTTCTTTCTGGTCAGGTTTGGATCTTGCACTCGAGCCAAGACACTCTGCACATGCTTAAGGTGTTTTGGCCACAAATCAGAAAGAATCAACTTAACTTCTTCCAATCCCTCCCATTTTCCTCTGAGCATACCCAAAGAATCTTCTAGGGGTTTGCCAAAACCCAACACAAACTCTGAATTCCTTGAGTAGATTTCAACCAAAACTCCCAACAGATTTTGAACACAGGGATTGGGCAACATGGAATTCCAAGCAAACCTGAAAACATTTTTGCTCATAACATCATCATCCTGTTTCCTAGGACTGAAATTCTGTAAAAGACCCACCAAATTCAATTTCTTCTTTACACAAACATTTGCATCATAAAACATCTTTTGAAAAGCAATAAACACATCATCAGGGTCTTTAAAGTCCTTGAGCTGTGGGTAAAGAAATTCTTTGTCAGCCCCAACAGAGATAAATTCAATCTCACCAGGGGAGTTTCTGCAGCTTCCCGGCAACCTAGGAGAGAATGACCAAAAAACTCAAAACTTCCTACAGCGGCTTGACTGGGCTGGGCTGACCCCCCTCCTTCTGCTTGCCTCTCAGCTTTTGGTTGATAGGGACCGCTTGCATAGTTCACAGTCTCTGCTACTAGGTTTGCTGCAAGCTGCTGCAACGGAACTGCAGATTTCAAAGCATTTACCCACAATGAAATTTGCACTAACTTGGGGTTCAAGAACTGGAACAAAAGGATCCCCCATACAATCCTTGGAGGTAAGCACATCAGCAGTTGCAGGTTGGGGAATTAAATTTCCCCACCAGAATTACTCTTCTGGAAGTCAGGCTGGTTCCATTGGGACAAAACTGAGTCTTTTGGTAAAGTCCCGGTAACAGAGTCCATACTTTGAAAAGAAGGCACAACAACTCGATGAACCCTGGGGATTACGTCAGACGCTGAGCAGGGCCAATTAACACAGGGAGTGGCAGTGCGTATTAAGCCAACCCTCCTCCCAACCAATTTCTCAGATACTGCAGTCTCAACAGTCCCAGTAGTTTCGGGAGTTATAGCATCAGGCGCTAGACTTCCACCTTCCCCATCCGGGACAAGATTCTCCTCAGCCCTCAAACCTTGAGGTGTTGTTCCCCAGTTCTCCATCCCCTGTACCTGGGTGGGTGAAACCTTAATGGAACAAATGTTGACTGTATGTTGTTGCTGGTGAACCCGGTATCCCAAATCATTACCAACCAGGACAGGACTTTTACACATCTTCGGGTCATGCACTATAACTAACATTTTTCCTTGAAAACCCATATACGAAATTGGAATAATAGCAGTAGGTTGAAAAATCTCTTTCACCCCATAGGGACTAATTTTCATGGGTTTATCCTGCATTTGTATAGGCATAACCAAATCACGGGACACACTGGTAATATCTGACCCTGTGTCTCTGAAAGAGTTCACAGCAATCCCGTTGACTTCAATGGGCGCTGTAAACTTCGAAATAGCCCACTTCACATGCGGCGCATTTGGATCAGCACTGGTACCCACAGGTCCCACTATAACAGCATTAGAAGTGGCTTCAGCTGTTCCAGGAGCCATAACGTCAGGAGCTGCCACACCCTTCCCATCCAGGATCGGGGTTTCCCCAGCTCCGGCTTTTTGTTGTTCCCCTTCCCAGTCCTCTTCCTGCCGCTGAATCAGGTGCACGGCAGGGGTGGAAGTGAGAATAGGAGGCTTTTGGCTACCCAGCTGGGGGCAAGCTGCTTTTACATGCCCCGGTTGTTTACAAAAGAAACACAATCCAGAGGTTGGGGACAATTTGGTACGTTCTCCCCTACTACAACAGAGTCTTTTGCAGACGTCAGGAAACCTTTGCTTTGTTCCTTAATGGGGGGAGCAGACTTCCCCATTGAAACTGCTGGTTTACACACATTACTTGGTCCCTTGTTGGTCCAATGGGAGCGGTTAAGCCTAAAAGACTCAGCAAAGGTGGTGGCTTCCGTTAGAGTTCGTGGCTTTTGGTCTGCAACCAGACTAGCAATTTCTGAGGGCAGGGAACGCATCAGTTGTTCAATTAATATAAGCTGTTTGAATCCTTCAAAGTCCCCCACCCCTTCAGCGGCAAGCCACAGTTCGAAGTTTTGAGCCATTTTTGCTGAGAAAACTGCAATATTATCACTGAGCCCCGACTTCTCTACTTTTCGAAAAGCCTTTCGATAATTCTCGGGGTGCAATCCATGCCTCTGCATGACTAACTTTTTGAAACTTTCATAGTCATTGAGTTCAGATGTGGGAGGTGACCCATAAGCTCTGCCAGGTCACCACAAACTAGGGGCGCAGAACAGCCATATACATAGTTGGAGCAACTCCCATGTCCTTGCAAGTTACTTCAAAAAGAGTCAGATAACTCAGAACGTCAGTGGGGGGCTGATATTTCGGGAAGACCCTCCAATTAAGAGTACTCAAAGACAGTCCTGGAGGGGACTGTTGGCGGTGATTTCCCCCCCTCACTGGAACAAGTTCATACCTCGGCGCAGGGTTTTGAAGCGCCGGCCCGTCCGGGCGTACCGGTTCAGCTGCCGTTGCGAATCCACGCTTGGGTCGCTGAAAAAACTCCTCCTCTTCCTCTGCCACATACCGTCGCACCGGCACGTACACCTCTTGAGCTCTGACTGGCGAGTAGACTCTACCCGGACTGAGTGACCGCTGTCTCTCCATCCGGCGGACGTCGGGCGCGCCCGCTTCTCGGCGGCAGTCTCCCACAGTCACCTCCTGCAGCTGGTGCGGCAGATCTTTGTAGTCATACGCCATCCGGCTGACTCTCGGCCCCATCAGGATGGATTGGCCCATTTTTGGATGTTTCTCTCGGCAACGGAATCCACCATTCACCGGATCTCGCATCCACTCCACATCATAACCTTCTGAGAAATCCATCTCTTTAGGCTCTGTGTAAACAAGATAGTTCCCCCTCGGACGTGTGGAGGCATCCACTTCCTCACGAGGCGATGGGGGTTGGGTAACTGGCGTGCCCCTTGCTCTTTCCGCAATACAGGACTCTCGCCGACCCCTCCGGACAGTACTTAACTCGCTGGCATCCACCAGCTCCCCCTCTGAATCAGGGTCTTCTGAAAACCAGGAGGCGGATTCCGCTCCGGGACTTAAAGCTTGGGGGGGATTGGTCTCCACAGGAAGGGAACTGCTTCCTCCCACCAATCCCCACTGGTCTAATGTCTGCATGGTGTTTTCCTGCGACGACGCGGCATCCATCTCCTAACTATTTCTAGCCACAAAATAAACTACCTGTAACTCCCAAAAGATACGTGCCAATTTAAAAGAATTCAAAGTGCCTTTCCGTAGGGAAGTTCGATCCCACCGCTGCCACCATGTAGTAAAGTTGCCCCCAGCCGCTCGCTCCTCCCTCACCTGTCTTGGCTCACCGGCCAGATCAGGTTTCTTGAACAGGGCTGGCAGGCAACGTCACGTTATACAGAAGCAGGACAAAATCACACCGGTAGAGCTGCCACCACTCCCTCTGTTCCGGGGAACCTAGAGTCACAACCCAGGGAGTAGGCTGTACCCTGTTGTTACTGGTTATCCCCACTCCACAAGTTGAATCCACAAACTTGCAGACAGAAGTTTTACGGTAGAGCGTAACTAAGCGTAAGGCTAGGACTTAGACTTTCCCCCCGGAAAGGCACACAAACCAAAACAGTTTCTTAATTAAAATTTATTTTAAAAGAACATAAGAAAACATGCTAAAATAGCAGGCACATCTTTAGTAAGTTACAGACAAGAAAAATAAAAACATTGTGAAATCTAGCTAGCTTGCATACTCACAACTAAAGTACAAAAGAAATAGATAGAGTCCTTTCAAGGTTCCGCAGTTCAAAGGCTTTCGCAGATCTCCAACACAAAGGATGCAAAGACAGCTACTTAGATGGAACATTAGCAGCCGGGCGATTTGCGGATTGCAGAGCGCACTTTCTCAGCCATTTCCCAGATCTTTTAACCCTGATTCACACGTGGCGTCGGAACCCCCAAAACCAATCATAACTCTTGATTATTTTTAAATTCTCCAATGACCGGCTTGTGGACTAATCAATCTAACTTCTGGCAGCTGGGCCAATTAAGAACCCAGAGCCTCAATCAAAGGTTGTCCTCCCTTCCTTGGCGCCTCTGCAGATGCACATTCCCAGGCCATTAAGGCCAGATAACATCACTAACGGAATGCGCAGAACTTGGACCCAGGTGTCAAGCCTTCCATTAAATCAGGGTTTCCTCTCCCATAATAAAACTTTCACACCCTGGGTGCCTGTTAGTCTGGGGTTAAAGGGACAGAACTTATTTCCCATGGTCCTTGTGGCTTGTTGGTTACCCACAAGGCCTCACTCTCATTGCTTGACCAAGGAACAACTTCTAAATGATACTAGCTTTACTACAGGGTTCATCAGAGAGTCCAGGGCGGTGGGGGGCAGCCCAGTGTTTTTTGTGGATAAGAAAAACACGAACAAGCCGAGGCTGGTGTGTGACTTCAGGGCCTTAAATGCAGTGTCAGAACCAGTAGCCTTCCCTATGCCCAGGATTGACGACATTTTGACAAGGGTGCGGAGGGAAAGATTTTCACAAAGCTGGACCTAAGGGGGGCGTACAACCTGGTACGAATAAGGAAGGGGGATGAATGGAAAACCACTATGTTCACCCCTTTAGGGGCATTTGAATATTTGGTTATGCCCTTCGGCCTACAAGCAGGCTCCGCAACATTTCAATCGTTTATGAACCACGTCCTGGGGCCTTTGCTTTACAAGAATTGTGTGGCCTTTTAGACGACGTGTTGGTGTATTCTGAGAATGAGGAGCAGCATGTGAGAGACGTCAGAGAAGTGTTGAGCAGGCTGCAAGCCAACCAGCTGTGGGTGAAACTGGAGAAGTGTCAGTTTCATACCAAGGAGGTGGAATTCCTGGGGTATCGCCTGTCAGACAAGGGATTGGCCATGGATCCCGGCAAGGTCCAGGCGGTGCTGGAATGGAAAACACCCAAAACAAAGAAGGATGTGCAGAGGTTCCTAGGATTTGGGAACTTCTATCGTAAGTTCATCCGAGACTTTGCCCACCTGACGGCGCCCATTACGGACTGTCTCAGCAGTAAGAAGAAGTTCGTGTGGACTGAGGAGGCGGAGCGAGCATTTGAGGAACTAAAAGGGCCTTCGCCTCGGAACAACAACTCCTGCATGTGGATTTACAAAAACCGATGAGAGTGGAAACTGACGCATCAGACAGAGCGATTGGGGCGGTGCTTCTGCAGCCAGGCAAGAAGGGGTCAGAGTGGAGACCGTGTGCCTTTTTTCGCGAAAGCTGAACAAATCCGAGAGGAACTACACGGTGTATGACCGAGAACTACTAGCCATTCATGAGGCGTTCCGGAGATGGAGGCACCTGCTAATTGGCGCACAACATAAGGTGCAAGTGTGCACTGACCACAAGAACCTAGAGTATTGGAGGACGGCACGAGTGCTCAACCAACGGCAAGTGAGATGGGCCCAGGAGTTCTCCAAATTTAACTTTGAGATTAGTTACGTGCCAGGCCCAGAGAACATTAGGGCGGACGCTCTCTCACGCAAACCTGAATATTTGGAGGAGGGGCACCCGAAGAGAGACATGTCATTCCAGAAGACCGCTGGGTGTGTGGGGCGGCATTGGTGGGACAAAGAGAACTGGTAGAGGAACAGAGAATGATGAATACGCCCAGAATAAGCTCAGAGGTCTTAGGGGTGATGGAGAGGAACCAGGGGGTTTCGAGGAAAGAAATGGAGCTTTGTATTACAAAGGGGCACTGTATATCCCTGAAGGAGAGTTAAGGGTGTGGGTCCTCAAGCAGTTGCACGACAGCCCTACGGCGGGGCATTTTGGACAACACAAAACCATGTGGTTGGTCACCAGGGAATTTTGGTGGCCTAAGGTGAGGGAAGATGTACGTGAGTATGTAAGAGGGTGCGAGCAATGCCAGCGAGCCAAAGGGGAAAGGCGGGCGCCGGCGGGGCTATGAGAACCCTTACCAACCCCAGAACGACCTTGGGAGGCAGTGTCGATAGATTTTATGACTGATCTGCCGAAGTCCAAAGGGAAAACAGCCATCATGGTGGTGGTAGACCTACTAACAAAGATGTGCCACTTTGTAGCTTGCTCGCATGCAGTCACGGCGGAAGAGACAGCGAAGTTATTTGTAGAAAACATTTTTAGGTTGCACGGGGTGCCATTGAGGGTGGTCTCAGACCGAGGAAAACAATTTACTTCCAGGTTCTGGAGGAAGCTCATGAGCTTACTGCAGGTGGAGGTCAATTTTTCGACTGCCCGGCACCCTGAAACCAACGGGCAGGCGGAAAGAGCAAACGGTGTCCTCCAGCAATACCTGAGGTGTTATGTCAATGACAGAGAGAATGACTGGGTAGAAAAGTTGGCGCTGGCGGAATTTGCCTACAACAATGCCGAGAATGTGTCCACAGGGATGAGCCCCTTCTTGGCTAATTATGGGTGTCATCCCAGGGCTTTCCCAGGGGAGAGGGGGAGAGATGGAGCGTCCCGGCAGCCGAGCCTTTTGTGGAAGAAATGGAAGCAATCCATCGTCAGCTCCAACTCAACTTAGAAAGGGCGAAGGAAGAATACAAGAGGCAGGCAGACAAGAACCGAAGGGAAGGTGAAACCATAAGGGTGGGAGATAGGGTGTGGCTGTCAACCCAAGGGTTGCCGTTCAAAGGAGGTTGTAAGAAATTAAGACCCAGGAGGTTGGGTCCCTTTGAGGTCATTCAACAGGTCAACCCAGTGGCTTTCAGGCTCCGGTTACCCAACCACATGAAACTGCACCCAGTATTTCACAGGTCGTTACTGTCACCGTACGAAGGGGGACGAGAAGGGCTGGCCACTCGGGGACCGGTCGTAGAAGAAAGAGAATGCAGCAGCCATGTGGCAGAAATCCTCGACGCCAGGTGGAAGGGGGATCAGGTGGAGTATTTGGTAGCGTGGGAAGGAGAACCGGGTCAGAAAACACTTGGGTAATGGCTGAAGATATCAATGACGAGGTATTGATAGAAACGTTCCATCAAAGGTTCCCAAGGAAACCTCAGCCTGTGGAGAGGTTCCGGAGGGAATACTTTGGGACCACTGATGAAGGGGAGGAGTTGGAAGGATTCCCGGACTCGGAAGGGGAAGGGGAGATGGACTCTGAGGAGGAGGTGTACTTGAGACCAGGAACCGCAACAGGTTGAGAGAAGTGTTCGAGACATCGGAAGATGAAGGAAGTTCATTCCGGGGTTTGCCTCCTCACCGCCCGTAGAGGAGGGGCGAGAGGGGGTGAAGGGGGCCCTGGAGGGGAGGTGGATGTCAGGGAACTGCCATCGGACGGAAGGGAGGTGAAAGGGCTCACACAGGTTGGGAGAGACGCAGCAGCTGAAGAGGGAACCAGCAGGGAGGTGAAAGGGCTCACACAGGTTGGGAGAGACGCAGCAGGGGGAGAGGAGCTGAGCTGGAGGGATGGCTCAGAGACACTTCCAGCGAAAACAGTGGGGAGGTTTCAGGACCTCCTGTAAGAACACCCACTCCTCGCCGGAAACTGTCACGCAGAGATTCCAGAAGACGTGTTTCCGTTAAGGAGCTTTTATGTTGGAAGCGATTACGAAAGCAACCACTGTCGGAATCTGCTAGTGACTAGAGTAGCCATGTCTGAGGGGCTCCGTCACAGACAGAGGTTTGTGGACTTGAACAAACTCTGAGGGGATACGATTTTACGCACAAGCAGCTCATCATCCCATCACAATATGCTATATAGTAATTTATTGACCTAATAGGTATCTAAAGCCATTTGCTTTGTTTTCTATCTTATATTTTGGAAAAGTACATCCAGGTGTTTTTTTCCTTTAAATTTTTTGGGGGCCCCCAAGAGAGTGGGGCCCTAAGCTATAGCTTTTTTAGCTTATACATAAATTCGGCATTGCATAGGTTAAGGAATTTGTGGATGTGACCAAGGGATGGGGAAGGTGCTGATATAGTCCATGAAAGGAAATGCCCAAGAAGGTGATTATGGCAACAGAGATTTATGCCAAGCTCTGAGGTAGCGCTGACTTCTGCATTTGCCAGTTTCTAATTTTTTCATTTCATGGCTCTTCAAGCAAATGGTTGGGTGTCGTCGCTGCACAATCTGGCCTTTATTTATTACATTTTTGTACCGCACATTCCCTCAAACGTGGCACGAAAACATCTCCCCCACCTTAGCCTCACCACAGCCTTCCTTCGTTGCAACTAATTAAAACAACAGCTAAGATTTTTTGTTTTGTTTAGGCAAGCCTCCCCAGACAGACAATTCATTACATGCATTTGATTTTAAAATCTGTTGGTTTTATTTTTGTTTTAAATCATCATCATCATCACCATCATTACATAAACACCATATCAATTTTATACCTGATGAAATTGTTTTGCTGGTTTTGGAGTTTGCAGGGATGGGTTTTTTATCAGGAATTCCTTCATTGCTGGGGGTTGGCATAAATGACGCTAAGAGCCCCTTCCAACCCTAAAATTCTATGATTTTATATATTTTATAACTGGTGGTTTGTTTGTTTTTGTCTTCTATTCATTTTAAACCTTGCACTCTGTTTCCATGACTTTATGCTGTGAAGCAATCTATACAGTTGTTTAACAACCAATTGTTATATAAATGCAATAGATACAACTATCAAACAGATAAGGCCAGCAGATTCAGAGGATCTGCTAATTTTATCTCTATTTTGATTATTTTATGATCAAATATTAATCAAAAGTTAGCAATGAAAGCAGGCAAAATTTTGATTAATATTGATTAATATTTTCTACCATTTTAGAAGGGTTTTTTTTTTAAAAAAAAACTAAGTATATGTAAATCTTGCTAAATAAGTTTTTTTAAAACACACACACACACACACAGAGAGAGAGAGAGAGAGAGAGAGAGAGAGAGAGAGAGAACTACAGCCTTGACTGAATGCTTTCCTCAGCTGCCTGAATCAAAAACGTACTTCCACTGCAGAGCACAGATCTTCATTTCCACTTCCATTGCCATTGATGCTCCTGAAGTTGTACGGACTAGAACCCTTAGCCTTCTCCAAAGACCCTGCCGTGAATAGACTCAATGGCATTAGAGAGCAGGCCCCATCTGTCTGCCGTCCTAGCGCAATTGGATTTCATTGCCTCCCTTTTGTCTCTCTCGCTTTGGAGTAGGTTTCTGAAAGTTTCGCAGCAGGCAGCTGAGCAATTACTTAATGTTCTAAATTACTATCAAGAATGCGCGGGCCGGACGAGTGTTCAATTGCCAGGCACCGTCGGTTCAGGAATCATCTTATTCTTGTTATTATTACTGAGATCTTAAGTATGTCGGAGGCGGAAGGCAAATACATTTCAAGCAGTCATTCAGCAGGGTTA